AAGAAGGCCAACAATGGAGTCAGTGACTCCATTTTCCAGTTGAGGAAGCTAACCACCTAATCCCCAATACCCTACTATAAGCCCTACCGATTGCATTGACGACGAATCGTTTCCCTATTACTCGAAACCACGTCACCCTCTTAGAAAGCCATTGCGATTCTATCAGCCGGGACCAACGGCAAATACTACGCCACGGCGTTCCGTCTCTTTACGGAGTAACGTACCACCTGATTATACTTCTCCGACCAGTAAGCAGCCGTGGAGACTACTACATGAGCCACCAGAGGGAAAAGAGGGAGACGGTTAAGCAACCGCATCGTACCGTTCCGCTACTGGTTCGTACTTGTCGTACATCTCCTTAGCCGTCGGTTCACACTTCGTGTAAACGTCCCTCGTGATCATCTTAGCCGCGTCTAGAACATCAACTCGTTGGACCTTCGAAACCACGAATCGAGCTTGGCATGAAGCCTGATCTACCAGAGACGGCACGTGACGTTGATTTGAATGCTTAACTTGCGATCGACGAACTCGAGGAGCTTGAACGGTACATCGTGAAATTTGTCGTAAACGGGGTCGACGACAGTCTTAAAGGTTTCTTCGACAGTTTGTACACCCGATTTAAGTGGATCGAAATTCTGTTTGGCGTACTCGTAGACGCTTGATACAAAAAACTTCATAAATAGACGCCACTTGAACGAAATCCAGATACTTAAGCTTCTTCGATACATTTCCTTCGATCTACATTCAAAACTGTCGCAACTTCGGGTAGGTCCAGAATTAGGCTTCGATTTGAATGAAATGGTTTGGAACCGCCACTGATCATTTATTTTAAAACAAATGGGTTGATCGAATACCTTCTTTCTTATCTGATCTGTGTCTTTCCAAAGATATGTCGGATTCGGGAGTCGGATACAATCAATGAAGGGAGCCCTTTCGGTGCTTCGTAATTTTCAGCTGTCTTTAATTAAGAAAGTTGAAAGTTCAAATTAAAAGGTAAAATAACGATCCAAAACTTATCTATAATTGATTGAAATACCGTTAAAAGATAAAAATGTTAGAAGGAAAAAATAAAAGTGAATAAAAGAAAAAACAAGTAAAATAAAGTAAAAGAAATAAAAAAAAGAAAAGAAAAGTGAATAAAATAAATAAAATAAATAAATAAAATAAAGACAATAATGACAACATCTAAATGTGAGATAATAATAAATAAAAATAAAATAAGTAAGTAAATAAATAAATAAAATAAAGATGCATATAAATAAAATATTAAGAGAAAAAATAAAATAAAATAAAATATGTAAAATATATAATAATAATAATAATAATAATAATAATAATGAAATATATATATATATATAACGATAATAATAAAGACAAAAGAGTAATATGAAACAATATAATGCAGTAAAAAAATAGAAAATAAAAATAATATAATATAATAGTAATAAAAAATAAAAAATAAATAAATAAATAAATATAATTTTATATATATAATGATAAAATATAGTACTTAAATAAAAAATAATCAAATAAAAATAATTTAAAAATATATATATTAATAATAGGTGTAAATAAAATATTAACAAAATATTTGTATATATATCTATAAAACAAAATAAATAATAGAAAATAATAAAATAATAATAATAATAATAATAATAATAATAATAATAATAATAATAATAATAATAATAATAATAATACAAGGATTACATTGAAATAAAAAATAAGTTGGGTGGTCAAATTCACAGAATATCAAAATTAGAGACCAATTTAAAAGAATTTGGAGTCAAAATAGGTATTAGAAAGATACGGGGAACGAAGTGGGGGGGGGGGTTTGCCCACTTTGAAACAAAAACATGCAGACTTTGGGTTATAGGTCGGATTAGCAAGCGAGTCGTTCAGGGTCCATGAGTCGAGTATTTAAGCCAACATTTTGGCTTTTAGCCTCATTTTCTCATCTTCAAATCGAGAGACCTCATTTAAAAAAATACTCTCAACTGTTCATCATCTTGATGAATAACCATCTCATTTTTCAGAAAACTTTCACCGCGTAAAAATTTTGATTTTTTTAAAAACCCTTTCTCTCTAGTTTTCGAAAATCAAAGTAGTTTTTTGAGATCAAGAGAGGGCTAGATCAAAAGAAAGATCTCAAAAAACCCTCCCGATCATCGATGATTTTAGTGTTTTTAGGGTATTTTCGAGTCAAATCTCAAGTAAATAAGATCAACATGCAAAGGCAAGAAGCAAACGAACAAGGTAAAAAAAATACTATCTTTTTATTTCCTTTCAAAACGTTTACAAAAAAACTTGAATGCTTTGATATTTCTTTTGGTATTTTCCTAGGATTTGTGTTTGTTTTGTGTTGGATATCTTATTTATAGTACCAAAAAAGGGTCTTATTTTTTAGTGTTTTAGAGTTTTATTCGGACTCAAAAATTAACTTGCGTTTGTTGGTGATGGTTGTTGTCGAAAAATCCAACAATGGGTGTCAAGAAAATCGGTCGAGGACTTGGTGATGCATGTTGGAGACGGTTGCGCAATGCAAGGATGCTTAACGAGAGATGGGGTTAAGGTTTCAAAAACTCTAACCGATTCAGGTGCTTTATTGAATCGGTTCTGATCTCCATTCGGATCGCGTGCATGCTTGGGTTTGGGGGCTCTGTAGGGCTACGGTTGGGGCCGTTTTGTATTGGACCTGTACATAAGAAATAGAATGTAAATAAATATGCATATATTATAATTTATAATATTATATAATAATATTAGTTTAAGTGGATGAAATTAGGTGTCTTCAAAAACAAAACAAGATCAACTTCTCATCCAAAAAAAAAAAAACGAAAAAAGAATTCAATTATCAAGAGAAGCTTCTTCTGCTTACCGCCTCTGTTTGTTTTGGATCGGTCTCTGTTGTTGATGAGTTCACAGTGGTTTCCTCCTCCGTTGGCCGTTTAACATCCGTTTCCGCCATTGTTTTCACCATTTCCTAGACTAATACTTTGAAAAGAAGTAACAGACTTTTAGACTAGAGAGATGTAAACTAAACTTTATTCGAAAGAGACGAACCAGAGCGTTGTAACAACACCCCCATTTATAGCAATTCCTATGGTTATGATTCATTTTCTGCCACGTGGTGCGAGATTAAAAGGGTCACCATGATCATTTTGGACTCTGTGTAATTTGGGCCAGAGGGAAAATTTGGTGAGCCCATTGAGATGAGGGTTTAAACTTTTTTTTGACGTGTGGAAGTGTAGGAGTCGTTTTCATGTCGTGAATGATTGAAAAGTGGCACGGCTGTTTGACACGCGAAACGCATGTGTTACTTTGTACTCATTCCTATGGTCGTTTCTCTCTCCTTTCCATGGTAGATAGGCTGTAAATGAACTAAACGTTTAGTGAATTGTTCATGAATCGTGCGACGAGAAGTTAGTGTATGTGCGTTTATTTATTAAATGAACGAACATGAACAAGATTTTTTATTCGTTTAATTAAATGAACGAACATAAACATAGGTATCGTTCGTTCATTTACGTTTGTGAACGTTCGATTATGTTCGTTCAATTATGTTCGTTTATGTTCATTCATTTATGTTTAACCCAATCTTCTTAAATCAATTTTTGTGACCAATTTATAAGTATATTAAAAATATTAATCTGATATTCTGATGACCAACTTCATAATTAACCTTATATTCATTTTCCCCCTGTGATTTAAATCCAATATGTTAACCTGTGAGGCACTTCGCACTTATATTCATTTTCCTCTTTTTTTCCCAAAACCTTAGTGTTCATTAGAGAGTGGAGACGATATCTGAAAGCTTTAAAACAAGTTATATTATAGTGCAATATGAAGTTTTACAGGTCTGTTTTCATCTCTTTCTCTGTTTTATTTGACTTAATAGTTTATATGTAAAGTTATTACGGGTATCTTCACATCTAAAACTCAAGAAAACATAATACTTCTTTCTAGAAATAGATGGGAAGATAAAGGTAACAATCGTAAGTATACGAGCATCAGTAAAGAGAAAAATATATAGAATTTGCCAAAAACTAAAACAAAGGTTTCTATGCAATTTCTGAAAAAGAGTGTAATAGCGGAAAATGATTTTTCATATATAATAATGGACCACTAAGATAAATGTTATAGCGTTAAATTAAAGTCGTGTGAATCATTTAATATCTTTAAAAAATCGATCGATCGAAATATTTGATATCTTCAAACATTTCATAACTGCTAATAAGCTCTTACGCTATTTATCACTGTAGATTTGGTTGATTTGCATTGTCGACTATTTTTCATGAAAGAACAATGGAATGTAGGGTCTCCAACGTTTATGTTCGTGTTCGTTTATGTTCGTGTCCGTTTATGTTCGTTTATTTATTAAATGAACGAACATGAACAAGTTATATTCCTTAATAAACGAACATGAACAAAAAAAACTTATTCGTTTATATTCGTGTTCGTTTTTGTTCATTAATTTATTAAATGAACATACCTCCGTTCGTGTGCATTCGGTTCGTTTACATGCCTAATAGTGGAAGTTATAGCATTCTGGGCCAATAAGGCAATAATCGATAAAAAATATTAATTTTTAAAGTTTAAGTATTAAGATGAATTAAAATTTATAGTTTAGATATTAAATAAGTAAATTATCCTTTAAACTATACATAAAATTTAGTTTTTTTTTTAAATTTTAATATCATGTTCAAAATTAACGTTAAGTTCTAAAATAATTGAAATATTAATTACTAAAATAGACTAAAATTTATAGTTTAGGTACTAAATAGGTTAAATTTTTAATAGTGGGGTATTAAAATGAAACTAAAACTAAATATTAGATATAATTTAAAAATAATTAAAAGCTTAGATACTAAAACGGACTAAAAATAATAATTTAAGTACTAAATGCAGGTTTACCCTTAAATTTTTTTTGAAGAGGGGTAGCAAATTGGTAAATAAAAGGTGTAAGCTGGGATGAAAAAGAAACAGAACCATCCGCCCATAAAAGAAGCAGCGAAGCAATCAATTTCAATTTTGTTAAAGGTTTCCAAGATTTTGAAATTGAAGCTTGCGGGTTGGGTTAGCAACTGAGGAGCACATCCAAAGATCCACTGCGAAACAATGGTTAACGTTATTTCCTTTCGTTGTTTCTTTCTCCATTTTAACATCGTTCGAATTGATAATCTTCCTCGATATCACTTTACTCGGATCCTTTTTGATTGCTTATAAAGCTATGATCCAAAATCATATCGTTTTTTTTATAAAGAAATTGAAATAAATATCAACTTGTTTTAGATCCGTTCTCTTAAACTCGTGGATCTTATCATTTTGTTATTGATTTTGTAATTTTTTTTTTTGGATTAGAATTGTTTGTGCTTGAAATTCTGGCGTTCTGGTGTTGATTTATGAGCTGTATTTTCAGTCGTAGTGTATTCTGCGACGAAACCTTAAAATAGTGGCATGCGATTCCTTGTTCTCCTCGAGATTTTTCATAATTCCTATGAAGTTTCCGCTGAAGTTCCTAAAGAAAATTTGACTTGTGTGAAGTTCTTTAGAGGAGTACAGTTTCAGAGTAGTAATTTGAGGATCTGATCAACTATAGCCTTGGCGTTAAAACAATCTGAAGTAGGGGATTGACTGTTATGCTTTCTGCAGGATGGGCATAATTCGGATGAGTCAAAGCAAAACACCGCTGATATGACAGTTTTTGTGAGTTCCTAACCTTTCTTTATAACATGAAAGAACTGCTTAAAGTATGCTAATTTGCTAGCACGGCATAACCACTGCCTAATTTGATTAATGTTGAACTGTTTAGATTGCCTGGTTAGGAAATGCTATCTAATGGGTGTAAATCAACAACCCTTTCCTTTGGTTTCTTTATTGCCTTTCTCGTACCTCTTTGGTAACAAGTTCTTTGGTTTCAGGTGCAAAACCTTCTTCAACGAATGGTGAGTTATTATTGGACCCTCTTTTGTTGGATTTTATTTTTGTATTGACAAAGAGTTCGTTTGCAGCAATCGAGGTTTAAAACGATGTCTGATTCCATTATCACCAAGAATATCCTTTCAAATGTTCTTTCGTAGGATAGCAACTTTTGTCTCAACTGTTGCTTACCGAAAAAGTTCTCTTTTTCTTGTTGAGCTATTAACTTAAATAACCAGGTTGAATGGTGTAAAATAGTCTTAAGTTTAGTTACACAATTACCAACTTATGAGGAAATCCTAGACTATAAGAACAAGATTCTTTCTGAGTTAGTGATTGTGAACCTGTATCTAATAATTGTTATGTTGGCCAGATTTGAACAAGGTTGAAACCTTGTCATGTTTCCATTGTTTAGCATTTCTCTAAATGGAAAGAGTTGCTATTTATTACTGTTGAGTGTGGGACAACTATTGTTGACTTTACTCCTAAGCACTCGATGATATGGGAAACCGTATAAATGAGTTGGAGCAAAGCTTCAATGACCTAAAAGCAGAGATGGGAGTAGAGGGCTCCTTAACCCTGTTAGACCCGACAAAGCAGAAGTCGGATGAAGCGAAACAAGATGAAGGCTCGGCCTGAAACTTGGCCAAAGACTATAACTTGCAGTTGATTGTGATGGTAAGTTGGCGACATTTGGTTTTGTTTGAGACAACTTTTGTCAAGAGAGGGACAATACTTGGAGTTCCCATCTCCCTTTTTTACTTGTATAAGTATTTTTATTCTATGAACTTTGAGCACAAATTATCTGCCTTAAACACCAGTAGATGAAAATATGGTGTGGTGGTTAACATTCATGCTTTACCTCCGTGCAATGCCAAAATGCTATTTAGGTTTATTATGAACTTTGATTCCCGTTATTATTATTATTATTAGTTTCCTTTTATATAGGGAAAGGAAGTTGAAAGTCCGATGCAATTCCTTCGTGCATGTGATCTCTAGTAAATTATATTTATATATAAATATTTGAATTAAATCTGAATTCGGATGACACGTAGTCGAAGGCAGGTGGATGTTAACAAGAGCTAGAGAGTCTTGGCTCTCTTAATGTTTAGGGAAATTTGAATTACACCTCTCAGAACTTTAAAATATTTTAATTTGGCCCCTTTAAATTCACTAAAAATTTTCGTGAAGTCTTGTTTTTCTAATGTTTAATTAACCCCCTTCAGAATTGCATTAAATCTTTCAAAATTTTTGAAATTTAATTAGATCCTGATATTATTTTTAAAAAACTCATCAAATCCGTCAAGATTTTTAAATTTTTATTAAATCTAAAAAAAATTAAAATTAAAATTTCGATTAGACTTCCACGTCATGATATGTTACCGTAGCATAATATTATAATGTGCACGAATAGAAGTAGAATTTTTTGGGTAAATTACTCCAATGGTCACTAAAGTTTGAGTAAGTTTTTGTTTTAGCACTGATGTTTGAAAAGTCATAAATCGGTCACTAACGTTATCGTTTGTTACAAATTGGTCACTCACCGTTAATAGTCGTGACGGAAAATACACGTGGACTGTTAACTGCCGTTAATAGGCTTATCTGGATGGTATAATTACACAAATAGTCCATGCTATTTATATATTATTTCAATTTGATCCTAGTTTTAATAAATTAAAATAAATTTACCTACGAATCAGGAGTTGTCATGTGTCATTGGTTACACACCTCTCATGACACATGTTATCATTTGATTGGAAGACTAAATTTATTTTAATTTATTTTAATTTAATATATTTATTTCTACCAATCAGAGGGTGACACGTGTCACCCTCTAGTTGGAATAAAATAAAGCAACAAAAAAGCAAGTGGGGGATTCAAACATAGGACTCTTAAGTGAAATAATGGAAACCAAACCATTGAGCCAAGGGAACCATTTGATATATTTTGGACAACAAATGATATTTATCTTGTATCTTAGTATGTAAATGTTTTACTCAAAATTAATAATATGTTATATATATTAAATTTTAAAATTATCTCATTATTTTTGCTTTAGCTTATTAAATATTTTTATTTTTGTCTTAATTTATTAAATATTTTTTTTATTTTAATGTAAAAAATATATATTTTACTCTTATTTTAAATTAAAAAATATATAATATTTTATTCTTATCTTTACTTAAAAATATATTTTATTATTATCTCAACTTTTAAAAATATATTAAAATATTATATTTTTTAAAATAAAAATAAGAGTAAAATATATATTTTTATATTAAATTAATAGTAAAAGATTTATATATATTTTAAGTTAAGATATATAAAAAAATTATTTTTAAGTGACGATAAAGATAAACTATATATTATTACATTAAGATAAAAAAAATATTTAATAAATTAAAACAAAAATAAAAATATTTAATAAGTTAAAACAAAAATAAAGAGATAATTTTAAAATTTAAGATATATAACATATTATTAATTTTGAGTAAAACATTTACATACTAATATACAAGATATATACAATTTGTTGTCTAAAATATATCAAATGGTTCTCTTGGCTTGATGATTTGGCTTGCATCATTTTTCAAAGTGTCCTATGTTCATATCCCCATATTTGCTTTTTCCTATGTTTGAATCCCCATACTTGCTTTATTTGTTGTTTTATTTTATTCCAACTAGATGTATCACCCTTTTATTGGTAAAAATAAAAATATTAAATTAAAAATAAATTAAAATAAATTTAGTCTTCCAATCAAATGATAACATGTGTCATGACATGTGTGTAACCAATGACACATGACACCTCCTGATTCGTAGGTAAATTTATTTTAATGTATTAAAACTAGGACCAAATTTAAAGAATATGTAAATAATATGGACTATTTGTGTAATTATACCATTCAGGTAAGCTTGTTAACGACTGTTAACAGTCCACGTGTGTTTTCCGTCACGCCTGTTAACGGCGAGTGATCAATTTGTATCAAACGATAATGTTAGTTACCAATTTATGACTTTTGAAACATCAGTGATGAAAACGAAAACTTACCCAAACATTAGAGACCATTGGAGTAGTTTACTCATTTTTTACTACTGTAATATTGCTGTAATATTGCTGAATCACATAATCCCAAAGCTCTATTATTGACTGTTCGAAGTTCGAACTTACATATAACTATATATATAAACATGTGTGTTTCTTTCTAACATGTATAGTCTTCATCATTTCCAAACTAGACAGCTACTTACCTGTAAGTCTTTATTCATTTGATTACTTTTAGTCTACTAATACGATTATATATGATAAAAGCTGGCTTTCATGGGATGCTGCGTTCGCCAATGCTTCGAAGCTGTTAGCCCAAATTTTGGAGTAGAATTCGAGAAATTAACGAACATGTGAAGCCAGCCCGTATAAGTGCACCGGGCATGGTGGCGTTGCCAGTTCCATAAAGGATCCTCAGGTCAGGGCCTCCCTCGTGGTGCGAGCAACCGCGAGGGAATTGACATCCCCCGGCACGACGTTGACGGTCGTTCGATTCTCGGCTCCGAGTTGCAGCGGGACGATCATACCTTCGTTTTTTGCACCGCACCTCCCAAGAACGTTAACCCCTTCAGCGGTAATGTTGGTGAGATTCCCCACCGTTAATGTAGTAGGCGGTACCGTTGTATTGACGCTTTGGAAGAGTAGGGCGTTGATGGCTCCGTATTCCGCCACGTTGGTGCGTTTGATTCCATCCAGCAGCTAAATGAAGAAGACGAAGTCGGTTATTCGAGAATCGAATCGGAAAGAGAAGTACTTACCTGTGGCTCGTTGGTGCCGACAGTCAGAGGAGTCATTGTATCCTCGTATTGAGTAATAACAGACAGAATAAATCGAACGGCGAGAAGAAATATGCGAGCCTGTTGCAGTAGATATTTAATGGGGGTGTCAAATTATAGGCATTCAAAGCCATGTCAAAAGCTACTGGGGTCACAGTAATCAGTGGCCTTTGTAGAGGAGCATTTAGAAGTGTCCTGTTAACGATAGCCCTGCAAAAAAAAAAAAAAATCAAACTTTTATCTGACCAGTAATTTAATTACATTTTATGGAACTAAGTCGGATCAAAACAACAGTTAAATAATCGCATTCTATTATATAAACCTGATAAGTCGGACGTTACTCAAAGCAAACTGCTCGATAATCCTTCTTGTGAGGATATCGACCGTGGCGTTGGTGGCTCCGATGGGGTCAGGGCCTTGGACCAGCCCCGGTGATATATTGTTGATCTGAAGACCGATTGAGCGCAGGAAGAATTCAGTTTTGACTATGAGCAACTGAACAAATAACTCAATGCGGGCAAGGTGGAAGCCACCAATGGCCGGAACTGAGGTGGAGGAAGCGGAACAGAGTTGGTCCTAACAATGGGGGATTGAAATGCGAAAAGGAGGAGAAAAGCACACAGGCATGACCGAGTAGCCATTTTTGTTTGAATCCCATGTATTCTACATCTTTAATAGGGATATGCATTAGGCACAAGACCCAAATTCCTACTCGATCTGATTGGGTCAGATTTAAAAATATATATATATTTGGGTTGAGTCAAGTCAAGTTTATCAGAAAATAAGTTCGGCCTAAGTCGGATTCGGCTTTACGATGAAAAAATCTGACTCGACCTGAAAATAATATAATTATAATTTATATATTTAGGAATAATTACAATAATATCTCTTTATATTATTTTTCCAATTAAATTCATGTTTTATTGAATAAAATTAATAATTTTATATTATTTCGGGTCGAGTCGGTATCAGAGTCAAAAATCTGACTCATATCTATCCCTAATGTTTAATAACTATCTATCTCTTTTTCTTAATATATATAAATTAGATTATCATTTAATATAATATTAGTAGAAAAAATAATTTTATAAATAGTAGTTAGATCTTGTCAAATATATTTTTTAAGTAATTTTAAATTAAATAACAACTACTGCTCTGTATTCACCTTAGATTTATCAAAAAAGAAAAAAAAAAGATACTTAACATCGTCTCAACCAAGGATAGACCGAGGGAGAGTGGCTTTGGCAATCGTCCCAAATTTTTTTCAAATTTCTATATGTTTTAGATTTTTTGTATTTTTATTGATAATATATTTTTACTCCTTAAAATAAATCATCTCCCTAATATTAAATCTTGCATATAATGTTTATCATATACTTTTACTCATCATGTTATTTTTTTACATGTTTAAGTAAGATTTGTAAAGTTATTGATATTATTTCACATGTAGAAATAAGATTAGTAAGATTTGTATTGTTATTTAATATATAAAAATCATATAAAATTATGTGTAAAGTACACAAATGATCTCCTGACTATAAGATATTGTTTTATTAAGTCTCTCTACTATAAAAAATTATAAAATAATCATTTGACTATAAAAAGTTACAAAATAGTCAATTGACTATAAAAAGTTACAAGTCACTTAATAATCTATCTAAAATAATTTTTGATTATTTTTTAAAATAACTTTTTATTATTTTTAAAATAAATTTTTTATTATTTTTATTGAAATTGCTTTGATAAAAAGTTGATTTGTCAACTCCATTATTAAACTTGAAGAGAATTAGGTCCACGAAATTAGATGCAACCAAATCATAAGCTAAAGGCGTACTACAATGGAAAACAAAATTGTTAGCCAATTAGTAGGGATAGATCGAAAAAATGGAATTATCATATAATTTATTTTTATTTTTGTATTTTTATTAATAATTTATTTTTATCCTCTCCTAGAATTTTAAAAGTTCATCTCCTAAAATTTTACGTTTATCCCTACTCGTATATATAAATTTCTTAATCTTTTGGTACTTTTTTTTGGTGTCGCACTTGAAAGGAGCATTTAAATTTATACTTATTAAGTCTTCGGGATTTTAGGCTATAGTTCAATATGTATAAATTTAAGTTTAAATTATTATAATTTTTTTTTTAATATTTAGAAGAACGTAAATTTAAATATGTTTATTGATAAATTACGCATCTGGTATCTAAATGTTACACCCCAATTTAGGGGTTGGATTTATTAATTTAAGTAGATTTAAATGACTAAATTGCAAGTTCTAGAAACTTGCAGCTCAGTTTCGAAACTCTTGGAATTTCATAGAGCTAACCTTAAATTATCCCATTTTTCTAATCTGTTGGAAAAAATAAAAACCCAAGACCCCAATCTAATAACCCAAAATAATCCCTCGGTGAAACCCCAAACCCTAAAGTCATCAACAAAACTATCATCGTCGCTCTGTCCAGCCGCCATACAACACGTTGTGGCTGTCGTTTGACCCACCAGCAACCGGCGACCAAAACCCCTCAAATCTCTCGATGTGAAACGACCACTAACATCATAATTTTCGATGTAAGATTTCATTGGTTTCAACCCTGTCATCGTAATTTTCCCTGATATCGGCCAATCCGTTCGCCTCACCACCACCCTAGGAAGACTCCCTAGCTCCATGTGATCAAAACTCAACCAGTGGGTGAGGCTGTCATCACCGTTTTTATCGACCGCCAGAGTGGGTAAGCATTCCAGTCATCTTCTTTTAATTTTGTTGGTTTTTGGCTGAAATGTTGATGCTGGTTGGATTGATTTTGTTAAGTACATGAACAGGGAGTGTTCGACCGCCTATAACTGCCTCCGTTGCTGTTGCACTCGTTGTCACACACTGGCTATGTGTGCGGGGCTTGTTTTATCCCAAGGAAAGTTCCAGAATTGGGTCTGGTTGACCCAACCCGTATGATCCGACCCGACCCGACCCATCTGCCTGACTCAGTCGCTGAGTCAACTCACTGAGTCAATTCATTAAATTTGACTGAGTCAACCTGTTGACCGGTCTGACCGTGGACTTTGACATGTCAGACCGTTGACTTTGACAAAAAAGTCAAATTTTCCGAAAAGCCCTATTTTATGTTTTTAGACGTCATGAGTCCAATTCCGAAGTTTGTTTTGCCAAATTCACACCCGATAAGCCGTTTTTCAGTGATTTACCTTCGGATTCAATATAGTTTCTCATTTAAGTTCAATTTATGACGTAAATTTGGTTGTTATGTATCCGAAAAATTATTAGACGTTGAATTCAAGTTCGAGAGTGATCGAATGGAGTTTAAATGGTTGACCGACATGGCACGAAAACTGAGGTAATACTTTTCTACCTTATTAATGTTTTATGGAACATGTTAGTATTGGTAAATACATGAATAAAAAAATGCTTGGCCTCGTCTGTGTAGTTAATTATTTCTAAACTCGATCCGAATGCGGTCAAAAGTCAGTAACTGAATAAAATCTTGATGGCTTTAATAAGATATTAGAAGTTATATAAGCAATAATTTCAAGTTCAGAGATTATTTGGAAAATCAATTAACTCTAGGATCTCTAAATTCTATTTATCCTTGTTAAGAGTTTTAATATCGAAATTACATGGTTATGAAATTGCGAAATTGCCCTTGAGAGGTAAAAATAACCCAAATTGACCCTGAATGATAAAGTACCCAAGAATTCATGCCTAATCCAATGAATTACTAATTTAACCGTTAAGTTCACACTTTTATACAAATTTTTTTGGATAATCAGTTTGTAACTTCTGAGAAGGTACTCGACTGGAATTTCTGAGTTATGAGAAAATCCTTGAAGATTAATTTATCAAAAGTACTATTTTTCATAGTTATCCAAAAAGACTGAAAGAGATGATAAGCTCGAATTAAATAAAAAGACCAGACAAAAGGAAATGAATGAAATACCCTGGATCTGTAAAAGAACTAAAATACCCCTGGAGTGCAAATGACCCAAGAATATCACCAAGCCCAAGAATGATTGGATATCCTCAAGCTCTGAAATGACTGGTATAACCTTAAGCACCAAATGACCAAAATACTCTTATGGCCTAGAATAAGTGAATGTCTTGGATTAATTAAGGAATCCAAATAAACATGGATGTTGTATTGCCCTTAAAAGTTATGAAACACAACTTAAGTAGGTCGACCAACTCTAATGCTATGTTAGTACCTGAATGGGATAAATACCACTTGAATGCTTGTTCGTCTCATCAAGTTCTAATCGATGATAATTCTAGAAGTACTTAGCTCAGATCAACTCTAGAGCGCATTCGGTACTAAGAAGTTAATATTCGTGAGACTACTCAACCCCCAAACTCGATAAGTATCACAATATTGGGAGCTGATCAGTTCGAATGGACTTAGAAGATGGATAAGACGTTTGAACTCTGAAATAATATGGATCACTGCTCACCTATGCAAAACTGATCAATTGGTACTAAAGTTCCCTTGCGTGTGAAAAAGTTATGGAATCACATCAGGAATATTTGAATCCTGAAAAAAGTCTGACGCAACAGTTCTTAAATATTCGGTAGTTATAACTATATAACTTATGGTCCTGATAAATCTCTTTCAGAATGATTGGTAGTTATTAGGATCTCATTCTTAGGATTCGACCTGCTTACAAAAATTCCTTAGCTCCATATCTGATAAATACCAAGTATCTCTGAGAAATTTACTAGATCCTCTAGTTTACTGACTAAAAATGTTTTTATTTGGGTACTCTGGGATCTGGGATGAAGACTCTAACAGGTTCAGTCGCTGATGGTTATTCCTTGTATAGGTTCAGTATCGGCTGATAATTCCTATCTCTAGCAGGTTTAGTCGCTGCTGGCAATTACTTGTATAGATTCAACACTGACTGGTAATTCCTTATGGACCTAAGGCGACCCTTGGGTAGGCTCTGAGGCCCTGAGAACTTTCTTGGGTAGTCTCTCAGGCCCCAAGGTACTCCATTAGGTTATGCAGTTCAGGGGAACTGTATATGGCATTCGGTTGGAGGGTTTTACTATGGTTTTTAAATATACGTTTTAAACTGCTACTGTTTTAAAAATGATATGTATATTTTCACTGGTTTTATGGGAACACACTAGACAACCTATTATGATGTCTTGAACTTTGCCATCTGAAACATTTCCTCTGAACTGAAAGCTTAATATCTAGTACTATCTGAGATATCAGTGGGACCTCAGCTCAGCATAAAAATCTGTAGATGATCGAATCAATAAGGAAACATATGCTTATCTGGTATCTTCATGTTCTTCAGCATCATCTGGTAGTTCTGTATTACCGAGCTTTCCAAAGCTCACTCTGTTACTCACATTTTCAGGTTAAAAAGATTAAACCAGTGCAGCTATCATCATCGGTATGGGAGTTACACCGGCGTTGCTTGCGGAGTACGGTACATGTAGATAGGGGGCATGTAGCTTGTGTTATGTTTTTATATTTGAGTCTAGAATCTGTTTTATTTATGAATATTGTTAAATTTTACTGTTGTGTTTATAAATTGTTTTATGATTTTACATGTTTTAGCAAAAAATTTAATTTTCTGAGATTTTTACAGTGGGTCGCTTCGGTAGCCCTAATGTGACACCCCAGATCGGATTGGGTCACCCGCATCTAGGGGTGTGCAAAATTACCTGACCTGGTTGATCGATCCGCCGACCCGTCGACCCGGATAAATAAAAAACCGGGTAATTTTATATAAAAAAAATACCCGGTCGGGTCGGGCCCGAGTCATAAAAATTAATTTTTTCGGGTACCCGGTTAAGTTTTTTTTAATATATTAACTAAATGATTTAGTTATATTTTCATTGATTAAAGTTTTAAACTTATGGTTTAATTAAAGTTTTTTCTCGGCTCCGAGTTGCAGCGGGACGATCATCCCTTCGTTTTTTGCGCCGCACCTCCCAAGAACGTTAACCCCTTCAGCGGTAATGTTGGTGAGATTCCCCACCGTTAATGTAGTAGGCGGTACCGTTGTATTGACGCTTTGGAAGAGTAGGGCGTTGATGGCTCCGTATTCCGCCGCGTTGGTGCGTTTGATTCCATCCAGCAGCTAAATGAAGAAGACGAAGTCGGTTATTCGAGAATCGAATCGGAAAGAGAAGTACTTACCTGTGGCTCGTTGGTGCCGACAGTCAGAGGAGTCATTGTACCCTCGTATTGAGTAATAACAGACAGAATAAATCGAACGGCGAGAAGAAATATGCGAGCCTGTTGCAGTAGATATTTAATGGGGGTGTCAAATTATAGGCATTCAAAGCCATGTCAAAAGCTACTGGGGTCACAGTAATCAGTGGCCTTTGTAGCGGAGCATTTAGAAGTGTCCTGTTAACGATAGCCCTGCAAAAAAATAAAAAAAATCAAACTTTTTTCTGACCAGTAATTTAATTACATTTTATGGAACTATGTCGGATCAAAACAACAGTTAAATAATCGCATTCTATTATATAAACCTGATACGTCGGACGTTACTCAAAGCAAACTGCTCGATAATCCTTCTTGTGAGGATATCGACCGTGGCGTTGGTGGCTCTGATGGGGTCAGGGCCTTGGACCAGCCCCGGTGATATATTGTTGATCTGAAGACCGATTGAGCGCAGGAAGAATTCAGTTTTGACTATGAGCAACTGAACAAATAACTCAATGCGGGCAAGGTGGAAGCCACCAATGGCCGGAACTGAGGTGGAGGAAGCGGAACAGAGTTGGTCCTAACAATGGGGGATTGAAATGCGAAAAGGAGGAGGAGAAAAGCACACAGGCATGACCGAGTAGCCATTTTTGTTTGAATCCCATGTATTCTACATCTTTAATAGGGATATGCATTAGGCACAAGACCCAAATTCCTACTCGATCCGATTGGGTCGGATTTAAAAATATATATATATTTGGGTTGAGTCAAGTCAAGTTTATCAGAAAATAAGTTCGGCCTAAGTCGGATTCGGCTTTACGATGAAAAAATTTTACTCGACCTGAAAATAATATAATTATACTTTATATATTTAGGAATAATTACAATAATATATCTCTTTATATTATTTTTCCAATTAAATTCATGTTTTATTGAATAAAATTAATAATTTTATATTATTTCGGGTCGAGTCGGTATCAAAGTCAAAAATCTGACTCATATCTATCCCTAATGTTTAATGACTATCTATCTCTTTTTCTTAATATATATAAATTAGATAATCATTTAATATAATATTAGTAGAAAAAAATAATTTTATAAATAGTAGTTAGATCTTGTCAAATATATTTTTAAACTAATTTTAAATTAAATAACAACTACTGCTCTATATTCACCTTAGATTTATCAAAAAAGGAAAAGAAAGATACTTAACATCGTCTTAACCAAGGATAGACCGAGGGAGAGTGGCTTTGGCAATCGTCCCAAAATTTTTTCAAATTTCTATATGTTTTATATTTTTTTGTATTTTTATTGATAATATATTTTTCTCCTTAAAATAAATCATCTCCCTAATATTAAATCTTGCATATAATGTTTATCATATACTTTTACTCATCATGTTATTTTTTTACATGTTTAAGTAAGATTTGTAATGTTATTGATATTATTTCACATGTAGAAATAAGATTAGTAAGATTTGTAATGTTATTTAAT